TATATATATATATATATATATATATAAAATATCAAGTACCTATAGTATCCGGTTTACTAGCTTGTATATGCATGTATCCAGTTTCCTCAAGAAGTCGACCCCAGTGGTATCCCAAAGGATACATTCTATCGGCATATTCGCTCTCGACAACGAGCGATGGAACAAGCGCACCGATGAATCTCCACAGCATACTGGACTTTACGTTACCCATACACATGTTCGAATGAGCGCCAAGAACACTGAAAAAGATTATCTTTTTCATTCCCTCTTTGTATTCCTATGCATTGAATTATTTAGCAAGTCACCATCAATGTGTAAAAAATACGTGCTTATTCGGGAAAAGAGTAGATAAATGCATAACAATAGCGGCGCCCCAGTCTCCGCCCTGCGTGTAAAATTTATCATGACCGAGGCGCAACATAAGATTTTTCAATATAACAGCGATCTGAAAATGACAAACGATTGACAGTGATTATATTATGTAGTATTAGTTTTTGTCGATCTTAGAAGAAGCAACTAACGATCTCATGAGTGTTCCGTGCAATCCGTGATTGTATTCTTTAATAAACAGTTTTTTATTAAACGGTATTATAATAAAATTACAGTATATTCAACAAGAATTGTTACAATCAAGAATCTCTTCAATTCTTTTAATGATATTTAATATTAATTCAATTACAATTCTCTTTATTTAATATTAATATTAATATTTAATAGATATTTAATATTAATTTAAATCTGTAAAACATCACGCTTGGAAATGTTATCTTAGATAACGCATAAAAATGCATGATGCATCTATAGGATTTGAAATTTCGATTACCGGAATATAATGTATAACAATTCTTATCAAATACATTGTACATTTCTTGTAATACTGTTTAATAAAAAACTGTTTACTATAAAGAATATCAAGGCTCACTTAAAGAACGAGCACTGATTGCACGGAATATCTATGAAAGATCGTTAGTTGCTCTCTGAAAAAAAAAACTAGAGTAAAGATTACTCTTATTTATATCACTCCGTTCATTATTTCAAAACTATCGCGTCCCGTACTCGATTAAAATGAAGAGTTTGCTGATAGGGGGCGTGAATATTACGCCATTTGATAAGATTATTAAACATTTTTTTCATAAATTTTACCTGCGGAGAAGCCAATCCTTGTCGTACAGCCGCTTGAGAGAATCCATATCCCGGAAGCGAAGGTGCGATCACTTCAAACACAAAGTCTTTGTCGGGACGCGGTGTCGTTAACAGAGGAATAATTTTTTGGAATTCCACCACCGATCCTGGCCAACCGTGAACAATTAACAGTGGCAAAATCTTTAATTTGCTTCGTGAAACATTCGGTTTCACGTGATAGAAATGTATATCCAGACCTGTAGACATCAATTTATTCAACTAGCTTTATTAACTTTTCATTAGCTCAGATACATGCTGAATAGCAATTGTTTCTTTTACGAAGTCAAAGATCAACTAATCATGTAATATTTCTATTTTGTAATCTTGCATAAAAATAATGAAAATATATTTTCTTTGTATCTGTTCAATAAAGTATTCTCAATGTGCTATAAATTATAAAACCGCTTGTCCTTTCAGTGAAGTACTCTAACGGGGCTTTTACGACGAGTTAGATTATCTAGGCCGGCGTTTATTATTTCCTGCTAATAATGAACAAAAGGGAAACAAGGAATGCTGAGAAAAAAGAAAAGTAAAGAGATACTTAATGAGCGCGATACCGCTCATTAAGTACTTGTTTTGGAGCAAGTCTTTCAATTATCGCAAAACAATCACGAGACTCGTTCAAAAGACTGCAGTCGAATAAAAACATTTTATTACCTTGTATATTGGTTATGTATTGAGGATACTTATTGAGCAACGCTTGCCGTTCAGTCCAGTTATAGTTCGTGCTCCAATATTCAAGAACATCT